CACAAAGTGGATTTCTTAGGACACTACGTGTCTGACCAGGGTCTCCACATGGACGACGCGAAGATCACTGCTATTGCGGAGTGGCCCGCTCCCACATCCGCCAAGCAGCTTCGCAGCTTCCTAGGCCTGACTAGCTACTATAGTAACTTCATCCGGGGATACGCTAGGTATTCCTACGTCCTTACCTCCACCCTCCTCCGGAAGAACCCACCCTGCGCTTGGACACCCCTCCACGAGGACGCCTTCCGCGCCCTCAAAAAGGCGGTGACATGCGCACCGGTTCTTCACCTACCCGATTTTAACCGCCCTCTTATCCTTACCACCGATGGGTCAGACTTCGCTGTAGGAGCAGTGCTTTCTCAGGTCTTCCCCTCATCTCCTGATTCCTCTCATCCTCGTATCCCTCGCTTCCCACCACCTACCCCTACCACTGCTTCCCGACTGACGCATACCCGTCCAGCTACTGACGAGCCTTCTATTGACTATTCTCCTACCATCGTCGAGAACGGCACTGTCGAGTCTCGCTCAGGTGATTGTCCGATAGCCTTCTACTCTCGTCAGCTCCTGCCCGCCGAGATAAACTACACTGCTGATGAACGTGAGGTTCTCGCAGTAGTTTATGCCGCTCGACACTGGCGTCACTACCTGCACGGGGCATCATTCACGGTGCGCACGGACAACTCTGTTATCCAGGCTTTTCTGACAAAGCCGAAGCTCACTCCTCGACAGGCTCGCTGGTGGCACGACCTATCCGAGTTTAGTTTCACCACTGAGCACATCAAGGGTGAGACTGATCGGGTCACCGATGCCCTATCTCGGCGCCCTGACCACGACCAGGAGCACATCCAGCTCTCTTCCATCTCGGACAATACCGTCCACCACTCGGTGATCGACGAGTTTCGCACTCAGTACCGCCACTGCCCCGACTATCGCGACATCCACGCGACCCTTCGGAGTGGCAAGACCGTCCCGAACTACTCTCTCGGGAACAACGGTCTTGTGTACTGGTACGGTTCACAGGGCACCAGAGAGCCCCGTATTCGTGTTCCCTCCACTGGACAACTACGTGTCCGAGCAGTAGCAGAGTTCCATGACCAGGCAGTTGCCAGTCATATGGTCTTCCACAAGACGTTGGCTCGTGTGAGCCGCCTGTACGTCTGGCCGAAGCGCAAGGACTTTGTGAAGGACTACGTCGCAGAGTGTCCCACCTGTCAGGAGGTGAACAGTGCGAACCACCTACCTTATGGTTTGCTCTAGCCTCTTCCTATCCCTGAGGGTCGTTGGCAGTCCATCTCCATGGACTTTATCGGTCCTCTTCGAACTCCGACCCCCCGCGGTCATGATGCTATCCTGGTCGTCGTCGACCGCTTCACGAAGTGTGCACGCTTTGTTCCGTGCCGCTATGCCATCAGTGCACGTGAGGTCGCCGACATCGTATTTGACCGAGTCGTGCGTGACCACGACTTACCTCTGAGCATCATGTCTGACCGTGACCCGCGCTTTACCAGCCGATTCTGGCGACGGTTCCACGAGGTGTACGGCACTCAGCTCCGCTTCTCCTCGTCTTACCATCCTCAGACTGATGGTCAGACCGAGATCACGAGCAGGACTCTCGGGGATATTTTCTGAAAGATTGTTCGTGACGACCAGCAGTGGGATCTCCATCTTGCCCACGCGGAGATAGCCTACAACCACGCCGTCTCGCCAGCCACGGGGATGTCGCCTTACTATTG